GGGGCGGCCTCAAAGATCTGCCCTAACCCACCCACCCCAACCTCAAGGCCAGGATGGCTGCCTAGAATTCACCTGTGCACGGCTCTTCCCTGGGCTCCCAGGAGAGGCGCTCTCCCTTCCCACCAGCCTCCCAGCCCAAGGGTTTCTCTCACCCTCCAAACTTTCAGCATTTGGTGCTTACAGAATTCCACAGGGGCAGCCTGTGTGGCTGGGTGACTCAATGCCTCCAACGGGCTTCTCTTGAGCAGCTAGTGTACATCAGCCCGTCTGCCTAGGGAGCACACTCCATCAGGGAGGTGGCCAGGGTCGCTTGTTGAGAAGCCCCCTGAAGCTTGATAGCACAAGGCAGTAGTATGTCATCCATCGGCTCTGGGGAGATGTGTCCTGGAAGTAGAGATACAATTGCCTCTGATCCTGACAGTGGGAGGACTTGGGGTCTGGGGTGATGGGACAGCTGACAGATGGTGCCATTGAGTAGCGTCTTCACACCCAGGGCAGATGGTGGCAGCTGCCTGCCAAAACAGCTGCTTGTGATGCTTCCACAGGGTGGCTCCCCGTGGCTGTCTGGGCTTCCTCACAGCATGGCTGGTGGTTCCCAGTGTCTGTGTCCCAAAGAGGAAGGTGGAGGGACACATGTGCCTCAGAAGCTGCTGCACTGTGCTGGTGGTCCTGGTGTGTAGAGGTCAGCCACCCCCTGGGGCAGGGGCCCCAACACTGTCTGTGTAGGTCATGTGAGGGAGGGGCATGTGGGCTGGGACACACTGTTGCAGTTTCTGGAAAATCCAGTCTCCTGAGTAGGCCTCAGAGAACCGAACATCAGCTATAAAAATGAGTGAATTGATAGTGGTTTTGCTTTCTATTGCTGCCTCACAAATTACCTCATGTTTAGAAACTTAACACACATTTATGGTCCCGTGGCTTCTGTGGGCCACGTGTCCAGGCAGGGCTTAGCAGGGGCCCCTTGTCCAGCATGCAGTCTAGGAGGTGGCCGTGCTGCAGTCTCAACGTGGGATGGGGAGGGCTCTGTCACCAGGCACCATCAGGCTGTTGGCAGAATTATTTCCTCAAATCTGTAGAACCGAGGCCTGGCTTCTCGCTGGCTGGAGGCCTCTCTGAGCTCCTCACCAGGTGTGGTCCCCAGCACAGGCCCTGCTCCTCGGGCTAGCCAGGAGAGGCTCTCAGTGGGGATAATGTGCTGTGACCACAGATGTGGCACCCGGCCACCCTCCTGGAGTCTGTTGGTGGAAAGGGGTCACCCAAGGCTATCAACACTAGGGGGTTCCCGAGGCCACCTTAGGGCCTGTCCCCCACGCACGTTTGTGAGAAGGTGGAAGGTTGGCTGGGTGGGGAGTGCTAGGTTGGTGGGGCTGGTGGGGCCTCATGGACACCTGAGCAGATGGAGGGGTGAAGCCCTTCAGGCTGGGAGCAGGGAGCCCAGAGCCCCTGCCTGGGAGAGGCATGGGAAGGGCCCAAGGTGGCTGGGTCAAGATCTGAGCCCGAGGAGGCTGGTGCCAGGCCCAGGAAGTCATCGTGGGCTCCCAGAGGGCTCTGGGTGGAGGGAAACCTGGTATGAGGAGGGACAGGGAGATTGGGGTGCCCGCCACCCGACCCCTTGTCCCCCTCTGCTGTCCACTTTGGGACCCCATGCAGTCTGCTGTCTGCTGGGGCCCCGAGCTCATGCATATCACTTTGGGAAGGGGCCAGAAGGGACTGTCCGGCACAGCTCCTCCATCCCTGCCAGAGCACAGCTGCACAGGAGGGCTGAGCTGACCGTGCCAGGCCACACGTGGACCTCCGGAACCCCACCTTGCCGCCGCGTGGACCTCCAGAACCCCACCCTGCCGCCGTGTGGACCTCCGGAACCCCCACCCTGCCACCCCAACGGTAAGTGCTCTGTGCAGAGCCTCTCGTAGAGTCTGGAGTGTGATTTTTGTGGCATTTAGGTGGGAAAGCCTGAGCAGGGAGCCACGTGCTACCCACACCCCAGTGCCAGCGTTCCCTGTGTGGAAGTTATCATGGCAGACGGAACCTTCTCTGTCCCACAGACAGAGGCTCAGCGTCTTCTGGGCTAGGGGCCTGCTGGGGCTGCCTCCACCCTCACCCTGCTCCTGCTGCTGGGGAGTGGGGGGCCCTCTTCCACGCAGGGGCTGATTTGCAGTTAAAAAGCAAAACAACCAGAGAAACCAATCCAGGGCCTCCGGAGAGTCCCTCCTCAGCCTGTGCCCTGCTCCGCCCCTTCCTTGTGCCCCTACTGAAGCACGGATGGTGCACCTGCTGTATGCCAGGCGCCAGTTAGGGCACTCGCTCCGCCATGAATGAGCACGCCCAAGCTCCCCGCCCTCCTGGAGCTCCCGTGCTGGTGGGCGCTAAGTGAGGCAGGGTCAGCATCCTCAGCTCAGAGGCAGGATGGGCACAGGCCTAGCCCAGGAAGGTGCAGGGGCTCCCAGCTGACCCCCAGACACTCTCCCTTCTGTCACCTCCCAGCCCCTAGGGGGGTCCAGGCCAGCATCCGACTGCCCAGCCAGCACCCCTCCAGACACAGGGGGCACAGAGCCACACTCAGAAATCACTGCTGCACCCCCCGCCCACCCATCCACCTCCCCCAGGGGCCATGGACTCTGCCCACGGCTCCCACCTCTGCAGCCATCACATCTCCCTCAGATGAGGCAGCAGCCCTAAGACCCATCTTCTCGTTGCTGGGGGACGCTTTGCCTGCCTGAGACCCAGCCGTGCCCTGCCAGGGCTGAGGATCCCCCCGGGGGATGTGCGCTTCCGCTGTGGGGTCTCCGTCCAGCTGCCCCAGAACACGCCCCTCTGCTGCACACATGGGCTTGGGTGCGGGCTTACCCCCTCTCCTCAGGAGGCCTTCCCTGTTCCAACCACCCCACCAGGGGACAGTCCACTAGGCTGTCCTCAGCTGGGGCCACGGTCAGTGCAAGGACAGGGACTCCCCTAGTTCTGCCCTCCCGGGTGTCTGGGCCAGGTGCCCTGGCAGAGCAGTCGCTGGTCTGCTGCCAGCTGCCCCTTGGCATGAGGGTCCTCATGTGATCAAATGGGCACACTTCATCCATGCAGGGGACAAGCAGGGACTAGGGACCAGGCAGAGCCCAGGCTGCACAAGGTCCCCAGGTGGGGGACTGGGACCCCATGGTGGCCCCCCTAAAGGCCGTGTCCAGCCTTTTCTGAGCCTTCCTGCTTGCCACTCCTGGGCAGGGGCTGTGTCTGGGGACAGTGGGCCTAGCCCTGAACTGCCGTCACACCCCCTTGTCCAGGAGCAATGCCTGGGGCCTGCTAGTGGCTGTGCCATGTGGCCGATGGCAGAGCTCACGGTCCCAGGCAGGCACTGACTGGGTGGGCAGGGAGCCTTTTCCCCACCCCCAACCACCCACAAACATTTCATGTTTCAGGGGCCGTGTGCCAGCCCCAGGGTGAGTGGCCAAAGGCAGTGGCACCCATGGGTGGGTCCAGCTGCCCACGGGCCTGCAGCAGACACTGCCGGTGACGTGAAGTGAGGTTGGAGGATCAGCCGCCTCGTGTCCACCCGGTGCCTACCCTCGAATCGGGGGTCCCAGAGAGCACAGTCTGAGGTGCAAGCCCATGACTCCATTTATCAAGTGGCCCAGGAGGGAGGCAGGGAGGTGATCTTAAGAGGTGGCCACAACTTGGGACCCCCAGTCCCACCTGGTGGCCTTTCACAGTGAGCCACAAGGAAGAGGCCCAAGGCTGAGGGGCCCCACAGGCATAGGAGGCTTGGGCCCATCGGTGGCCCCGACACCTTGCCTCCGCCAGCCCTGGTTCTTTCTGTCCGGCCGGCCTGGGAAGCAGGCCCCGCAGGCCGAGGCTGCTGGTTCTGGTGCCTGCTGCTGCCGGCTGCAATCCGTGTCCCTGGTCTCCCCTCATCAGCCCAGTGCAGGACCCATGGCCCGCTCTGCTCCTGGGGAAAGGAGGAGGGTATGGCTGAGAGCAGCCGGTCTGCCCACTGCTCCAAGTAGACATGAGGGGCCCTGAGCATGGACACCAGCCCCTGTGTCTGGGAGAGCCAGGCCAGTGCTGGAGGGGACTGAAGCCAGCTGGGCACACCCCACCCACAGCTCTGGCTTCCAGAATCCACTGTCCCACCCAATCCGGCTGCAGCAGGACCAAGGCCACAGGCTGGGGCCCAGGAGCGCAGGGAAGAGGTCATGGCAACGGCCACATGAGAGAAGTGGAAACCGCCGTGTCACCCAGCGCTGGCTCTGGTGGAACTGTCCCGTGAGCCTCGCACGCCTCATGCCCTCTGATGCCAATGTCAGGACGCCCCACTCCAGGGTGGAGGCCAGGACCTTGAGGGAACAGAGCCTTCTCCTCACCCAGAGTGTGGACCAGGCCAAGGGGCCCTGTGGGGTGTGGGGTGGGCAATGGCACAGCCACCCACTTGGAGCCCAGGTAGGCAGAGGGCACGAGACCTGAGCATCTGACTGCAGGCTGCACTGTGGGCCCTGAAGGTTGTGGCCTGCCTCGCCCAGGGGCCACCCTCTACTTCTCTGAAAGTTGTGGCCTGCCTCACCCAGGGGCCACCCTCTACTTCTCTGAAAGTTGTGGCCTGCCTCGCCCAGGGGCCACCCTCTACTTCTCCGGCAGTGAGGGAAGTGGGAGCAGATCCCCAGAGGAGCCTGTGCCCCTCCAGGCCTTGCCTCTCCCAATCCAGGGTCCCTGACACAACATCAGCCAGGCCTCCTGGCCAGGCCCCTCCAGCACGGGCACCTGTGCAGGGCGGGGGAGCTGGGAGCCAGCCGAGCTGCCCCACTCACCATGGCCCCAGCCTTTTGCACCCAGGTCCCCAGAGTGCCCCCCAGGCCTTCCCCATCCCAGATGGCACTGGCTCAGGCCTGGGGAGAAGCTCCTTCTGACCTCTGAACTATCCTGGGAGGCAGGTAAGGGGCCCCATGCTCCTGCCCAGAGGGGCGGTGCCAACCACCTGGTGGTGGTGTGGCAGCAGTCAGGACAAGCCAGCCAGTTATGGACAGAACCTTTATTGCTGAACATAAAACACCTGCCTGGGAGGCCTGGCCAGTGGCCTCTTCACTGGGCTCAAGACCTGGGTGGAGAGGGCTGGGGGGCTGCAGGGCCACTGCTGCCAATGGCTGTGGGGAACAGGCCTGGAGGCCACCCCTGCCTGGCACCCTGGAGGGCGATGGGTGGGGACAGGGGCCAGGCCCTGGGCACACACTGGTCATGGAAGTTTCCAGGCAGGCAGAACAGTGTCCCTGTGGCCCCAGGTGGGGCGTGGTGATGGGCGGCCCTCCTCTGGGGCAAAGTGGCAGACACAGCCTCTTTCCTCTCCAAGGACGGGGGTCTGAGGTAGGTGCAGGCCGGTTCCTGGGGTCCTCACAAACGTGGTTTGATGTGCAGAGGCTTCCCTGTGCAAGAGGACAAAAGTCAGGTGCCAGGAAAGCCCTAGAAGACCCTCCCCAGTCTGCAATGCCCCTGGTCTGGGGCTAACACAGCAGGGTCTGAGTCTGAGAGAGAAGAGCACACAGGCCTCAGGCCTCAGCTCCCGCCCCCGCTGCGAACGGGTCCTGGTGAGCCACTGTGCCTGCCCAACCATGGTGCAGCCTCAGTCTATGGGGTCGACTGAGGCTTCTGCCTGCAATCCAAGGGTCTTCCTGGCAGGGGCAGTGGTCCTAGTCACAAGGTCTGCAGGTTAAGCCGTCAGTCCCAGCACACACAGCACCGGGCAACCCCACACACTCACACCTGCAGTGAGGCTGCCAGGCCCGTGAGGCGGCCATGCTGCACCTTCCACGTGGAAAGCCAGGGTGCACACAAGCTGTGGCAGGACGGGCAGGGCAGGACAGAGGCCCCAGGGTGAGGCGGGCAGGGCCTGGAGGCAGGCGGTGTGGGAGGGAGCAGTTCCCACAGTGGGGGACCTCGGGGCTCCTGCCCCGTGAGTGCTCACTCACTAGGTGCTGGCGCCTCTCCTCCCTCCCCAGATCCCCAGACCACCCCACAGGCACCACGGCGGCCCACTGAACACAGACGCTCCGTGTAGCTGCCCCAGGACTGGCCCTGCCCCGGTGACCCTCTTCAGGGCAGATGAGCCCACTTGCCTGCACACAGCTGTGGGCCCAGGCAGCAGACTACCCGGCTCTGACCTGTCAGCCTGCCCCTGCGGCGGCGCCAGCACTGCAGCCCAGCTTCCTACCCAGAAACCGTCCCAGGCACCTCCACCTGCCTGAGTGCCCGGCCACGGCAGCCTTTTGAGGGGCCCGCCCAAGCTGCACATGGGACCCCTCAGCACCCTGCCCACCTCTGCTGGCTCTGGAATTGGCTGCCGAGTTCCTGATCTTTAAAAAAAATAGAAGAGGTGGCTGCCTGGGGGCCTATCTGCTCCCCCACCCCAGGGAGGCCCACCCAGATGGAGGGAGCGGGTGCCCAGGTCTCGTGGGGCGGGGTCTGGCCACACTCCATGCCCAACGTGGAGGCTGTGAGCAGGAGGCAGCCCCTCCGAGGCAGGCGTTTGAGCGTGCTCAGCGGAGCTGCTGGAGAAGGCTGCAGCAAGCATCTTCCATTAACGTTACGACCGTGAAATATGACAATAAAATGATAGCCGTATGGTCGCAAATTTGCAGCCCGCCGAGCTGCGTGGGGTTTATCGTCACTCAAACGCGCGGAGAGCTGTAAAATGTTTACAGAAAGGGTCGTTTGCAGCCATAAAATCCTCTTTTCTCTCCTAAACAAGGCTGAGTGGAGCCATTTACCAAGCCCCAAATGCTCACTGGGGGAGAGGGAACATCTGTTCTCTCCAGGAGCGCGCCGTGATCTTCCAGAACAAATTAACAGAAATGGGTGCTTTCTAATTAAATCAGCCCTCAGCTGGGGCCGACTGCGCAGCGGCCACTGCCACACTCGCCCTCGGCCGGCCCCGCCCCCCGGGCTGGCAGGTGCACACCTGGCGCCCTCAGGACTCACCCAGGCTCCACCTGGAGATTCTGACGTGGTGGTCTGAGATGGGCATTTAAAACTCCCCTGTGCCCGAGCCAGGCCATGCTGCCTACCTGAGTCCTTGGTCAGGGGGGCCCTGGGGGCCCGGGCCCTGGGCTGGCCTCCTGGGCTCGGCGAGGACTGCAGGGAGATGAAAGAAGGCAGCTTGCAGAGCCTGCTGGAGCGCGCCACCGCTGAGGCGGCCTCCTGGACAGACGGGGCCTCCTGGTCCAAGGAATTGACAGGGGACAGGGAGGAGGGGGAGGAGGAAGAGGAGGAAGGAGAAGAGGAGGAGGAAGCCTTGGAGGATGAGGGAGAGGCCGACACCCCTGGGGAGTGGGGAGGCGCAGCCAGGGCAGTCCCAGTGAGGGCAGAAGAGCTGGGCGTCTGCCTGGTGGGGCGCTGGGCTGCCAAGGGCTTCCTGCAGGGAAGGAAGGGGAAGACGTGTGAGGAGGGGTGATGGGCAGGGGTCCCAGCGACAGGCCACTCATGCTCTCAGCTGCTTCCTGCCTCTGTGGCCCCCTCGAACTCAGGGCAGAGCTGGAGGCACAGGTCAAGCCTGGCCCTTGGCCACAAGGACAGGTCAGGTGTGGGGAAGGCCCCGGCTCCAGACCAAGCCTGCCCTTCACCTCCAGGGCCTTGGCTTCTTGGTCTGCATGGGGGCTGGACGAGGGAGCCCCAGACTCCTCCAGGAGCTGCACCTCCCACCCTCTCCCAGTGAGTAGGTCTCTGTGAAGCCCCACTTTCCTCCATGGGCGAGGGATGCCATTGGCTCTGTCTAGACTTGGAACTCGGGTAGGGGTAGCTCTGGAGGTGGGGCTTGGTTTGGGATTCCTTTCTAGATCTGAAGCCTGAAGAGCTGGAATTGGGGGCAGGGGGACTCACCCAGAGGGCCCTGAGCATCTCCCCAGACAGGGAGGGGCCACCCAGGCTCACATATACAGTGCCCACTGCCCCATCACCTGGGCCCGTGGCTGGCCGAGGCTCTGCTCCTGGCAGCAGGGTCGCTGGGTCCTGGGGCGGGGGACGTGGCTGCCCGCCGGCTGTGGCGTTTCTGGCTGCGGTGGAGCAACTGGCACTGGGTGCCCCGGGGACACGACCCCCTGCGGGCGAAGTCGGGGCACACCAGTGTGTGTTTCTTCTTGCACTGCAGAGAGAAGGGGGGCAGCTAGGTGGGCTGGCTGGAGGCTGTGGCCCTGCACGGGAAGAGCAAGGAGGGCCAGGCCAGCCCCCTGAGCGCCCACAGGCCCCACAGGCTCTGCCCAAGTCTTAGGGCCAAAGGTTTCCTTTTGGAAGGTTGAGGCCACCAGGCCAGAGAGGCTCCACGTGGGCCCTCGCCCACCTGTAAGAGGCCCTGGGCACAGACAGAGCATGGTAGGGCGGGGCCAGCCTGGGGACTCCCAGAGCCTTCGGCCAGGCCATGGCTCAAGACTCTGTCCGCTACCTCTGCCAGACCCTGGCCCGCCCATCCAGGCAGCCCAGAGGGAGCCCGGGAAGGTGGGTGTGGCTAGAGATGGGGGGGGGTGGGGGGCCTGAGCTGGGTCAGGGGAGGGGGGCGGGTCAGCCGAGGCCAGGCCGCACTGGGTCAGGGCTGGGCTGGGCACGCGATCCCTAGCACCTGTCAAGCGCTAATTATACCCAAGGGGTGGGGGGCGTGCCAGCCAGCAGGTGCTCTGGGCAGCAACGTGGCCCCAGCTCTCCTTCCAAGCCCACAGGGAAACACGAAGAGGCTGCCCAAGGCTCCAGTGGCTGAGCTCAGCTCAGGGAGCAGCGTGCCCAGCCTGCCCTTCCTCTGCCCACCACTCCTGGCCTTTGCTCTGCAGCCCAGCTGCCTGCCCACCTCGTGCCCAAGGCCTTTCAGGGAGGGTATTCCCTCCCCGCCGCCCTGCAGAGCCCACTGCATGGGGCACCCAAACTGCTCTTCATGGAACCAGTGCAAACTGTGACTAGCTCCCTGCCTGACCCACCAAGAGTGGCTCAAACCTGCCACAGCACTGGAGTGGCTGGAGTGCTTCCAGCTCGTGGGGTGCCACAGCCTTGAACCCATGTCCTCCCAGCCACATGGCCCCTGCTTGCTGGGCCCCTGACCCAAGAATCTGTGATCTTAGGTGCTGCTCCTGTACCTGGGGCTGGCCGTGAGCACCTCCTCAGAGCCGGGCCCCACTGCACCCCATGCCTTCCCTGGCTCCTGTGGTATGGCCCCCACCGCGTCCCCAGGTGGAAGCCAGGCTCAGGCCAGTGTCCACACCCTTACTCGTTCCTGCTACACAGAGTCCAAGCCCCTCTACCCAGGGCCTGGCAGTGCTGTGGGACCCCGAGACCCATGGGCTGCTCAGGAGCCTGTGGCTTGAGAGACACTGGGTCCTGCAGGGACCTGAGGGCGAGGCCTCCTGGGGGGCGGGGGCGGTGGCTGTACCTGACAAGGAAAGCCCTGCCCCCAGCACAGGCATCACAAGTGGCGCTGGGAGGAGCCTGGGGCATGCGGGTCCATTTTATCAGATGCAGCCACGGCTCCAACACTGGCTGGTGGCAACATTGGATGTGGAGTGCCAGCTGAGTGGCTAGAGGGACTGGCTACACAGCCAGTGTGAGCCGAGGTGCGGGTGTGCTGAGGGGCCAGAGGGCAGCGGCCACACGGCCAGTGTGAGCCGAGGTGCGGGTGTGCTGAGGGGCCAGAGGGCAGCGGCCACACGGCCAGTGTGAGCCGAGGTGTGGGTGTGCTGAGGGGCCAGAGGGACCAGCCACACGGCCAGTGTGAGCCGAGGTGTGGGTGTTGGTGAGAACCACGTGCCGGCGCTGAGGGAGCGAAACAAAAGAATGTAAAATACACATTTCTTTTTCCTTGAGTACATGTTGAAATTTTTGATAGGTTGGGTTAAATAAAACATATGATTCCATCTGCTCTGGTGTATTCTTTTTTAACCTTTTACAGGTGGCTACTAGAAAAGTTGAAATTCACATATGACTCACACGTTTGTATTGGACAGTGCCGGTCAGAACTAACCCTCCTGCAGAACACAACCAAATACCCAGGACCAAAAAGAACTGTCCAGGCCCAGAACAGCGACTCACACCCGTCATCCCAGCACTTAACTAACCCTTCTGCAGAACATAACCAAATACCTAGGATCAAAAAGAACTTTCCAGGCCCAGCACAGTGACTCACACCTGTAATCCCAGCACTTTGGGAGCGCAAGGCAGGTTGATCGCTTGAGGTCAGGAGTTCAAGACCAGCCTGGCCAACATGGTTAAACTGCCTCTCCTAAAAACACAATAATTAGCTGGGCATGGTGGCACACACCTGCAGTCCCAGCTACTTGGGAGGCTGACGCAAAGACTCACTTGAACCCGGGTGGTAGAGGTTGCAGTGAGCCAAGACTGCACCATTGCAATTCAGCCTAGGCAACAGAGTGAGACTCTGTCTCTAAAAATAAAGTAACTTTTTGAAATTACCTAGGAGCTATGAAGAAAGTAAAATGATAGAAGAAAATATACAAGAAAACACCGGACATGAAGTGAATCTTAAATTTCAAAAGGCCTGAGACCTTCATCTCATGTTTAGTCTTCAATGTTCACTAATGGAAAACCCAAACAAGCCAAGCAAAACCCCCAGAAAACCCTCCAAAGATCTGGAAATGTATCGCCATCTGTGAAACAGCTAAAGCAGGGCTTCGAGGAAAACGCACAGCCTTAAATGCTTGTATCACAACAGAAGACCTACCTTAAAAGGTAGGGGGAAAACAGCAAATGAACTCAAAGCAGAGGGAAAGAAAAATAAAACAAGAATTAAAACCAAGTTCTTTGAAAACAGTAATGAATGTGTCCAATAGGATTAATCAGGAAATACAGAGACGGAAGATGTAAACAATGTTGGGAATGCCAAGTGTGTAACTAAAGGTGCTGCGTATGATGAAGGACACCACATGCTGTGATGACAAGCATCATGCCAGTACATTTAAAAACACTAGTTAATTGACAAATTCTAGAAAAACTGACAAGAAGAAAAATAAATCCAAGTATTTCTATAACCATGAAGAAACTGGAATCAGCAGTTAAAAAATAAAGCTCCAACCTAAAGGGTTTTACTTGTCGTTCTACCAAATACTCCAGATGTACAACTCCAGTCTTCCATGAACAAATCCACAGTATAGAAAAACAAAGAACACTCCTCAGCTTATGGAGCCAGAATAATCTTGAAACCAAATCTGACCAGGACTATATGAGAAAAGAACATTTAGGCCAATTATCACTCATGAAAAGAATGCAAAAGTTCTACATAAATTATAAACAGAGTCTTGCAATGTGTAAAAACACTAACATATAAAGGACCAAGTTGGGTTTATCTCAGGAATGCAAGGTTGGTTTAATATTAGAAAATCAGGCCAGGCGCAGTGGCTCATGCCTGTAATCTAACACTTTGGGAGGCTGAGGTGGGCAGATTGCCTGAGCTCAGGAGTTCGCCTGGCAACACGGTGAAACCCCATCTCTACTAAATACAAACAAAAATTTAGCCCAGGCGTAGTGGCGTGTGCCTATAGTCCCAGCTACTCAGGAGGCTGAGGCCGAAGAATTGCTTGAACCCGGGAGGCGGAGGCTGCAGGGAGCCGAGATTGCACCGCTGCACTCCAGCCTGAGGGACAGAGCAAGACTCCATTAAAAAAAAAAAAAAAAAGAAAGAAAAGAAAAGAAAAAAAGGAAACTGGCAGGCACACAGAAGATCCAAACCATCTGATTCCACCCTGGCCCCTCCCAAATCTCAGGTCTTTCTCCTATTTCAAAATCCAATCATTTTGTTCCCAACAGTCCCCAGAGCAGAAGGCAGGAAGCAGGAAAGGAGCCCAGGGAAGACCAAAAGCAAGGAGGGAATAACAAAGAACAGAAGTCAACGAGAAAGAAAGAAACAAGCAGTAAAGAATACTGGCAAACACCAAACGCTGGTTGTCTGAAAAGAGCAATAAGATAGTCATGCCCCTGGCAAGACTGTTCCCAGAAACACGTGAGAAAACGCAAATTAAATACAGATGAAAAAACCTCTAGACGCAACAAAGGATGCTGCAGACACACCAACATGCACCAATACGTTGGAAGCCTTAGTAAAACCGATCAGTTTCTGGGGGAAAATAAGCCAAAACTGCTATTAGAAAGAAGTAGGCTGGGCACAGTGGCTCACACCTGTAATTCCAGCACTTTGGGAGGCCAGGAGTTCGAGACCAGCCTGGCCAACTTGGTGAAACCCCATCTCTACTAAAAATACAAAATTAGCTGGGCATGGTGGCACATGCTTGTAATCCCAGCTACTCTGGAGGCTGAGGAGGGAGAACTGCTTGAACCCAGAAGGTAGAGGTTGCAGTGAGCTGGGACTGCACCACTGCACTCCAGCCTGGCGACAGAGACTCCACCTCATCTGCCCGGGTGTACTCTTTTTTAACCTTGATTACATGTTGAAATTTTTGATAGGTTGGGTTAAATAAAACATATGATTCTATCTCAAAAAAAAAAAGAAGGAACTTGCATTGCTGGGAAGACAGACCCAAAGTGCCGTCCCTGTACTTCCGGCTCAGTGCTACCATGACAAACGCAAGCCAGCTCTGGACTGCAGAGAAGGTGCTGACGGCTTGGATCCAGGCACGGCTGGTGCTGGGCTCCCTTGAGCTGCTTCCTGTCCCCATCTAAGACTTGGAGTCAAAGCAGCACAGAAATGCCAATAGGTACAGACGAAGGGCAGCCCAGCACGACAGAGCTCTCGGACAACCACCACCCTATTCCAGCCTGCATCCCAGGCCCTTCCCCTCCTTGCCAGGATGGTGAAAAGCCAGGACATTCACCTCTCCCCCATCCCACCAGCAGAGTCCATGGAGGCCATGTGGGAGGAATATTGTGGAGCTCCTTCCCCCTATCCAGGAGGGAGGCTTCATGGAAGGCCTGTTTTCCATGCCACCCTACACAGCGTCAGTGAGGCCAAGTTCAGGGAAATGGGTTTCTACTCCCAGCTGGCAAGAAGGAGGCAGCAACTCCACCCAGAAACAGCCAGCACAACTAAGCTTCAACAGAAAGTGACGCTCACACTAAGAACAAGGGAGACCTGAAGCTCAATGAGGAGAGAGAGCAGCACGCGCCAATGCTGAGAGGCAGGGTATCAGAATTATT